ACTTTTCTTTATTAGATTTAATGAGAATTTGACTTTTTAATATGACACAATGGAGAAAAAAGATTCATGTAACCGACCCCACGTAGTGGGATAAATGCTTGATGATGTTGTTGTTGTAGTAGTATGAACCATTAGAACTACTGTCAAATTTGACATATGAAGAGAAAAAAATTGGATGAAAAATTGGATGAAAAATTGGATGAAAAGTACTAAGATGATATTGGTTTTAGCTGTTAGATTGTTTAGGCTAAATGATCTTTTTTTGTGTTGCATATGATCTCCAAAACTCCTGGTTTATGTATCTATTAACTATCCTAGAACTTCAATGGCAGTTTTCTTTTTGCAACTAGCCTTGCTATCCCCATGTCTAGTTCGGTTTAACTTTGAAGTTCCAATTTGCCTTAATCATCTATTTTTGAAGAATAATGATTTCTTATCTTTCAAGTTCCACTAATTATTACGAGGTAAATATTTTTACTTATTTTTTTGTGCTTCTTAGAAATAGAGATTATCAAGGTTCTTCCTCTCTTTCTATTGGTTTTTATTTTGAAGTTGTCTTACGTTCCGTTTTCCATGACACTCTTGATTTTGAAGTTATCTTAGCGTGCAAGTCCATAAGTTCTTCTTCATGCAATCCTTAGGTGATTCTTTACTTGAAAATCCTGTAGGCATTTAAAGAAGAGATCTCTAACTTGATACGACGATAAAATGTTATCTATAAGATTAATTATTATCATGCTGGTTAATTCCAATAAATGTTTTCGTAAACTATAGTCTTCTATATTGACTATCGCTGTACTGGATGGCTTGCTTGAACGTCCTTTAATTTTTGTTTTCAAATGGTTTGGAATAGAAAAGGTATTCCCTTCTATCATCAATGCTTTATATAGACAGTTCCATGAAAAACTCTTGACACTCAATTTATTGTTATAACTGGAGCTTATGTAGTAGAAATCATGGCTCGAAAAAACTGTTAGTTACATTAAGGCTTTGTTTGGAACGGTTTTCTTACTATTTCTCAAAGCAAATTTTTAATACAAAATTTTTAGTTTTTATAATAGAAAGCTGTTTTAAGAAGTAGTAAAAAAACCTAAGACTTCATTTAGGATAACTTTTTTTGTTGCTTTTTAAAGTAGTTTTCTAGTACTAAAATTTCAAATTCAAAATATTTTATACTAGAAAGTTGATTCATAAAAATTAAGAAGACTATCCTAAATAAAGCCTAAGGCTTTGTTTGGGACATTTTTCTTACTGCTTCTTAAAGCAGTTTTTCAGTACAAATTTTTTTTTTCTACTTAAAAATTTATTTTAAGAAGCAATACGAAAGTCGTCCCAAACAAAGTCTAAGATGGAAGGGGGTTATATTGTCTTGCATCTTACAATGAAAAATTGGAGTATTGGATTTATCCACAGGTATTTTATGCTTTCCAAAGATCAACAAAATCATTATCGAAGGCTGTTTATACTTAATA